GAGAAAGGGATTCAATTTCATTTTGTTGCATATGGATTTTGAGGACATTCTTGATTCCGTTTTAACCAGCAGGGAAATACAGGTTCAAATAGTTTAAATGACTTTTGAGGATTTTCAGTCTTTGGACCTGGCATTAAACCTGACCTACCTCTTGGCAGTTTTTCAGAGGCTTGTGTTACCTCTAGGATGCAAAGAGAGGTCTGGCTTCGTTTCCCATTAGTTACATTTGAATCAGTATGTTTTGGGAAGAAATGACAACTACTTGTCATTATTAATCAGAGCCTGAAATTGACAATGGCCTAGTAAGGGTATTTCAAGTCCTCTGAAATTAGTGAGAAAAGTGGAATAGAGGAGGAGAGATCTCAATGTTTTGGGACTAGTACTGTTTTCCACTTAGGAAAATCTATATTTGCAGGGGTAGAAAAAGGCCTAATCTGATTTCATATCTGTGTGTCCCTTGTTGACTGTACTTCTTGTTCTGGTTTCAGTTCCTCTGCTGGGGTGTGATGATACAGAGGTTATGAAACCAATTAATAGGGATGTACATGAAATGTATTTCACAGGTTTTCTAGAAGAGGAGTGGGCTGCGATAAAAAGTTAACAATAACCATGCCATTATAGTCATGAGACCTTTCAGCATAAGATTAAGATTATATTCCCATAAGATTATATTGCCTAGTGATGTCACAGCCATCTTAGTTTGTATAAGTAAACTGAATGATGTTCACATGGCAATGAAATTAGCTAACAGTGAATTTCTCAAAAATGTCTCCTTATTTTTAAGCAACACATGACTGTATTTCTCATGATTCTGTGGATCAGCAGGGATGATTCTCTGTTCTGTGTGGGACTGACTGGGGCTCCATCACTCATAGAGCTGGTGTCTCAGAGAGGCTGGCTCACATGGCAAGGGGCTGCTGGCTCAGTCATTGACTCCAGCTTTCAGTAGGATCCCACATTTCTTCTACGTAACTTTCTCTGTGTCCCTCCAAGTGAACTCTCAGCAGGGCATACAGTAGTGTAGTAGTACTCTCAAAGACACAAAAACAAAAATTCTAGGCATTCTGAAGACTTAGGCCTGTAAGACTTCCACAGCCTTCTGTTAGTGCGAGTCATAGTCTCAGCTTAGGCTCAATGTAAGGATATGTAAATCTCCCATACTGATGTGAAAGGTGAGTGTATATGGGAGAGGGGGACTTGTTGGGAGTCATCTTTGAGAACTTCTTTGGAGGTTTTAGCAGGGAAGCATAGCTACTCACATGCCTTTGACTGAAAACCAGTCCTCCTCGATTGAGGAAGGTGCCCTCTTTGATGGAGTGCACAGCTTCAGGAGGGACACACATGGAGTGGTAAGGGAGGAAAGGGACACCTGCCTAGCCAACTAGATCAGCCAAATCAATCCTGCCATCAGGTTCTTGAGGCTCAGGGAAGTTATGTGACTTCTTAAGGTCATGCAGCTTAAGAAGGAGGGAAAGATCTAAAACTCAGCTCAGGCCCAAACTGAAAATGTGTTTTGTGAATGAGTTTGCAGCTCTGACAGAATGCAGGGCCATGCATTCTGGGTGTTTTGTCCTTCCAGGTACACTGGCCTTATTGTGAGGATATCTGACTTCCTTGGAGATATATATATATATATATACATATATATATATATATATGTATATGTATATATATATGTATATGTATATGTATATATATATATCATACTTCTTTTTGGTTATATATGAAAGCAGAATGCATTATAATTCATATTATACATATAGAGCACAATTTTTCATATCTCTGGTTGTATACAAAGTACATTCACACCATTTGTGTCTTCATATATATACTTAGCGTAATGACGTCCATCTCATTCCACCATCTTTTTTTACCTCCATGTGCCCTCCCTTCCTAACCCTTTTCCCACCTAGAGTTCATCTAATCCTCTCATGTTTCCCCTCCCAACCCCACTATGAATCAACCTCCTTATAGCAGAGAAAACATTCAGCATTTGGTTTTTTGGCCTTGGCTGTATTTTATACAATGCAATGTTATTGCATTGAGAATGACCAAGCCAGTAGTTTGGATGGTCTTGGTAGTCAAACCAATGGATGCATTATGCAAAAATCCACTGCAGTGATGACTGATTAATTGACTGAGTGATGGACAGTGATCTGTCCTGCTGTCTCTTCCATGCATAGAAACTTTGTGGG